TTCTTCTGCACAGGGTCTGCCACTGGAACTGTGGTGCCCTTCTTGCTTTGGCAATGCCTCACCCACGAAGATAAGATTTATTTATTTATTTATTTGCTTCAATTTCTATCCTGCCCTTCCCGCTAGTGGGCTCAGGGCGGGTTACATGAACATAAAACAATAAAAATCAAGATAAAGCTATAAACTTAACCCTTAGACAATGGCGATCAAACTACATCACAGCTATTTCAGTGGTGCCCTGGTGTTAGGCAATAAAAACAGAAGGGCAACCAGGCGGCCACAAGAGGATCTGCTTGCTGTCTGTTATTATACCAGTGGTTGGATGGCTGTTTACATGCGCTGAAATTTCAGTTGCACACCTGTTATGGGCCACATCAAAAGTGGGTTAGTCAGGAACGTGCAGTCTTTCTAAGGAGCATTGTTTGGTTATGCAGATAGCTTTGATGGACTGAAACATGCGTGCAGCTGCTCCCACCCACCCACCCATTTGATGTCACGTTGATCGTCCCACTTGGCATATTGATGCCCAGCTTTGGCAGATTCTCCTGTTTCGTTGATAATTGCAACCTACTGGCGCTGAATTGCACAATTCCAGAAGATCCTATTACGGATTCCACCAGATATTTCTATTAAAGAACTTCAGTGATGCTTGGGTTTGCATGTTCAGGCTAGCATTGCACAGCTTTAGGGGTGTGCAAAAAAATTTTTCGGTAAAGACTCCTGCATGTCAATTTCGGCAGTAGGAGCTATTCAGGAGTCTTTGGCAGCCGAATGTCAGTTTCAGCCCCATTATATCCTATGGGCCATTGAAGTCAATGGCGAAAACATAGGGTATATTCTGGGGGCTGGAGGGGAGGGGGTTTAAGGGAGAGGCTCCAAACTCACAGGGTAGCTGCAGGAGCCTCTCCCCAAGGTACCAACCAAGTTTGAAGAACATTGGACCAGGGGGTCCAATTCTATGGGCCCCCAAACAGGTTGCCCCTATCCACTCCATTGTTCTCTATGGTGGGGAAAAATTTACTTTCTTCTGGGGATCGTGTTGTCGTGGTCATGGTCGGGCTCCAGCGGGACGGGCGGCCCTGGAAGTGGTCGGCTCCAAAAAGGGAGAGGGAGTGAGGGGCCTCAGACAGACAGGGGACAGGGTTAAGTGCACCCGGAGTGTCCCTCTGCCAGCATGCTGTGAACGCCTTTCCAGCTTTCTTTCCCGTCTTCTGTTTCTCTCTCTCTGCATCTCCCTCTATTTCACAGCGTACTCCTCCTCCCCGTCCCCTTCTCCACCCTGCCTTTTATCTCCCCACCCTGCTCCCAGGACCGTCCATCCACCCTCCTTTATCTACCGGGACGCCAGTGGGGTGGATGTTGGTACGCTGGTGGTGGCTCTGGCGGCCCGTGGGCCGCACCGCCGGCGCCGGTCTGCGGCTGCTCTTGCCAGTCTGTGCCTGTTCTCGGTTTGTCGGCCCCATTGCTGTCGTCTCGTTCTTCTTCCCGGGGGCTGCTCTGCGGACCCCGGTCTCGCCCCCTGGCTCAGCCGGTGCGGCGCACTGTGGGCGGGGTCGCCGCTCCCATCTCCCTCGCCGGAACGTTGTGCTCTCCCCTTCCCGGTAAGGCGTATGGTGGGGGTCTTGTGGGGTTCGTCGGGGGTTCCGGGGTCTGGCCCCCACAGCCCGTGACTTCCGGAGCAGGACAGATATAACGGGGCCGGATTGCCGCCGAAATTCGGCAGCAATTCAGCATCAAGCCGATTCAGATCAGAGAATCTGAATCTGCTTTCAGCAGCCCGAAAGGGGTCCGAATGGGCCATCCCTACACAGCTTTGGTTGAGACGGCATCCCCGAGGCTTCTGTCCTTTACCTTTTCTCCTCCTTACAGGTATTAATCACACTTATGGGAGATGCCAAAAATCATACAGAATCGGGGAGGAAAGGTCTATTCCAGTGTCTAGAATGATGGTTTACTGTTCTCCTCCTGCCCTCTTATAACAGGAAATCACCTTGAGAGGACTCAAATGAACTCTCTTGCCTGAGCTGCCACAATCAGTCCCTCCTAGAGATCTTATAGCGCACTTTGCAGCATTTCGTATGAAAGAAACCTTGTTCAAAGAATTACATAAAATCCAACCAGTCATCTTTAATAATGCACCAGTTGCAGTATATCAAGATTTACACACAGGTACACTCAGGTGTATATGAGTCGTCTGTCCTTTCACAGAGCAGTTGTGTGCTGCAAAGATAGGTTGACACTGAAGCTATCCATTCAAACGTATTGATCATAAAGAAGGCCAAACACAGGGTTGGGTCCTGTGAATCTGTTCTGCTAGCGAAGTACTTTCTTCCAGAGGAAAGCACCTTTCCTGACACAAAAGCTGCTAGAGTTAAGGCTCCTTCCGCCAGTGGAAAGCTCCTCTGATAGTGGAATGGATCTGCAGGGCCCATGCCTTAGACAGCAGCTACTTTACATGAGAAATGCCAACAAATCTGAATGCTTCACAATCATCTTGCCTGTCAAAAACTAAAGGTAATGAGGACACCGGCTTTGGAAACAATGCTGAATGGTATAAATGGTCTAGGAAAACCAGAAAGAAAAACATGGGAACTTAAAAAAGCAAGCATGCAGCCTCATTGTCCAGATTCCTTTGGGACTGTAAGCATCTGTAATGCAAATCGCAAATAGTGTCTCAGCTGAAACAAACCAATTTGATCTTCCTTGCCAAGGAAGCTATGCAAAGATGCAGTGCTAGCAACATACATATCTCTGCTAGTAAATATATTGCAATGTCCATTGCTTACCTCTAAAAACTTTAAATTGAGAATAACTATGTTCCTGGTAGAAGTGACAATAGTTCAGTCACCTGTTCTAACTTCAGCTATCTTTCAGTGTTCTTGTTTTTATTCCATAATGTGTTCATCTTATTCCCCCTCCCCCCTTAATTACAGAAGCAATTTGCCTAATGGTTTTACAGTTCTTCTTGGAGATAAATGTATGTTATTATACAGAATTTGCTGACTTATTGATAAAGACTTGTGAGTACTATTAATATAATATAATTTAATGTAAAGGGATTAAGCAATCCCATCAAAGGAAGAAGAGTTGCTACTACAATTAAGAAAGATAAATCTGATACATCCTTGGTATACAAGAGCCACCCCATAGGAACCAAGCTGCCAGTCTCTAAAAGATTCTTGCTTTTGAATACATTACATAGAGCCGGGCTCCTCAAAGTCTAGAGGAGTTGTGGAAAAGTTTGATTTTGACTGTATGAATACTTGGAGATCCCAGAGGTAGATACAAGGGCTCTTTTCCTATTTAAAATAATCCACTTTTATATTAGCATTGATATATTCTCCCAGTGTAAATCATATACTCGTCCCTGATAAATCTTTAGACACCCTTAATAACTTTAAGGAAGGTGAAATCATCATAGGAGAAGACCTGAGTATTGTTTCTTCTTTAGATTAAACTGGCACTGTCAATAAAAATTACGTTCCAAGCATTCAAAATTCAAATATGTTTTAATAAATATAATTTATTAGACTTCTGGAGGAAGAGTAATTCCAAACCCTAAAAGTGTCATGTATCACTTGATGAGATGAACTACAAGTTGAGTCCTATAACATAATTCCCTTCATGCTTCTCTGCAGATGCTGTGAAGGGTATCTTCTGCTGTGATGCTCACCTCTTTTGCTGCTAGCACTTCTGTGTGTATCAGGGCTCCTTTGGTGTAGTGTAGTTTGGTGTAGTGGTTAGGACTGCAGACTCTAATCTGGGAGAACTGGGTTTGATTCCCCACTCCTCCACGTGCAGCTGCTGGTGTGACCTTGGGTTATTTCAGAGCTGTTCTCTCACAAGCAGGTCTCGAAAGAGCTCTCTCAGCCCCACCTACCTCACAGGGTGTCTGTTGTGGGGAGGAGAAGGTGATTGTAAGCTGCTCTGAGACTCCTTCAGGTAGTGAAGGGCAGGGTATAAATCCAGTCTCTTTTTCTCCTCCTCCTCCTCGGAACCACTGATCTTGTGCATGTGGCAGAGGAAGCAAGCGTTGTAGAGGAAAAAAGCAGGACGAAAACATGAGGGGAACAATGTCTGTGGTTAGAGCATCACAGTAGGATCTGGTTCAGACCCCATTTGGCTGCAAAAACTTTCTGACCTTTTGGACAGTTAGATTCTCAGCCTAACCTACCTCACAGGCTGCTTGTTGCAAGGATAAAAATAGAGGAGAAGAGAACAGTACAAACCATTTTGGGTCACCACTGGGGAGAAAGGAGGGTATCAATGAAGTAAAATACAATAAGCAAAAAAGGTGTGATTATTGAATCAAGTCTGAGGCCAATTTTGTTAGGTATTTAACTGACATTAGGCAGCTATTGATTCAGCAATAACTATCTTGGGCCACGTGTCTGTGGCTGTTCAGTGGCTGGATCAGCATCCCACATAATTTTCATGGTGTCTCAACTGCTCCTTAAAATTAAAGGAAACTATTTCTGATAAAGCCCTCATCTGAAATTCATCAGTTCTTTAAGATTAATGCCTTGGCAGAGAAGAGATGAAACGTCCTTCAGGATACCAGGAAGGTGGTTCTGATGGGCATAATAATTCATGAAACCCGAATACTAGGGGGGAAACCCACAGAAGATTAGGCAGTAATAAAATTTATAGACTGTTCCGTGGAAAACAAGCTTTAGAAATGAATAAATCCCAGAGAGCAGTAGCTCATCTGAATCAAATATTATGAATCTAGCATACATTAGCTTTAAAAGGGGTTTAGACCAAATCATGGAGGAGAGGTCCATCTATAGCTACCTGAAATGGTGACTAAAGAGAACCTCTGTGTTCAGAGACAGTAAGCCTCTGCAGTTTTATGTTAGGAGGCAGCATCAGGGAAGGCTTTGGCCTCTGTGCCTCATTTGTTGGTCCTTTTGGGATGCCAGTCCCCAGGTGGGGGTGGGGGATTCAACAAAAAAAAGGGGGGGGACTAAACCAACCAAGCAAAAACCTCCAAAGGAAGTTTAGAAAACTTACTGTCCCTGATAAGGCAATCTTACTTGCACTCTTAGGACCTAAACAGGAAGGTACATATTGGTACTGATATTATTTCCAGTATATACAACTACTTCTGACACAAGGCCAGATATATTTGTGGCCCCAAATAGAAATCTTTTGGTGTGTCATTCAATTCCATTTTTGGTCCTATATTATTAATTGTTTATTGCCTTACATGTGTTACAGGGACTTTGTTGCTTGGTATATTTTATACTTTGTACTATTTGACCTCTGAAGAAGGCTCTTATGAGCCGAAACGTGTCAGGTCACATACACTGTTCTTTTTTGTGTATTTGTCACTTTTAACATTTTATGAGGCTTTACTTGGGCCCCTACAAGGTTTTTATATGTCTTTGAAATAAACACTCCTTTGTCCATACTTACTTATGTTTTTAACTTTGGCCCTCTATAAGTTTTCTAAACTTCCTTTGGAGGTTTTTGGGGGGCGGGGGAATCCCCTGATTTTGGGGGGCTCCCCCCAGACGCCAGCCAGCCAGCTGGCTGGGGGGGGAAGCCCCACCCCCAACAGTCATCCGTGGCTCTACTTGAAAAGGTGCTGTGCACACTCTTTTCAAGCAGGGGCCACCTGCTCCTGCCCTGCAAGTGGTGAATTCGCGGCTTGTTGGGCAGGTGCATGCAGTGCCCACTTCCCCCTCACACACCATTTAAAGGGAAGGTTTCCTTTAAATGGTTGGGGGAAAGCAGGAGGCGTGCGCACGTGGCGCTGCATCCCCCGTGCAATGACATCACTCTGTATGACATCATTGTGTCGGGGGTGACCCTGCCCCCCCAGGAACGTTCCCAAATCCCCCCACCAGGGAGAGGATGGGACCTGGCAACCCTAGGACAACTGTTTGTCCGCTGTGTGAAACAGGACGCTGGATAAGATGGCCTGCTTGACTGCTTCAGCAAGGCACCTCTTATCCTATCACAGCCAAAGAAATCTGTGGCAGAAATTATAATTGGCGTGTGATAGGAACACCTTGGGGGGGAAATGTTCTTTAGAAAAATTAGCTTTACAATATCAGATTACAAAAAGTCCAAGGAAGAACTGATGTTTTTTCTTATATTTAGAACCCATTTATTTCTGTTGTCGACTCACAATGGTCAGTGTTTCATTTTGTCCCCTACCAGGAACCTGTGGAAAGATATCCTTGTAGCATAAATACGGCGCCACCTTTCATTAGAACTGTACTAACATTTTACTGTTTCATTTATTAAAACAGTTTGATCCTGCCTTTCCCCATGGCTCCAGGTGGCTTGCAGTAAATAATTTAGAAATTGGTGGCAATAAAACCCCCAATTCCCTTCCCCCACCACCTCACAAAACCTAATACATTTCCTTCAGCCTAAACTCCATTAAAAGCTCTGGTAAATAAAACAGCCTTAGAATGCCTCCTAAACATTTCCAAATACAGCCCTCCCCTTTCTTCATTGGGGAGCCCAGTCCATAAAGTAGAAGCAATCGCAGAAAAAAAACATGGGCCCTCACTGATGCTGATCAAAGACAAAACAAGTGGGTTCTAGATCAGATCAAACCCAAACTCTCCCTAGAAGCTAAAATGACTAAACTGAGGTTATCAGACTTTGGTCACATTATGAGAAGACCAGGCTCACTGGAAAAGGCAGTAATGCTAGGAAAAGGTGAAGGCCTCAGGAAAAGAGGAAGACAGCAACATGAGATGGATTGATTCAATCCATGACACCACGGGCCTCAGTTCACAAGACATGAGCAAGGTTGTTAATGATAGGACTTTTTGGATGTCATTAATTTATAGGGTCACCATAAGTCAAAAGCTACTTGACAGCACATAACGCCACTGGTTTACGCTAGGTAGGCCACCGTGAATGAGGGAACAAGCAGAATGCAGCAATCCAAAGCTGTAAAACAAACTATACAGTTGTTTATGTACCTTATCACCTCCTGTCTCTTTGTTGTCATATTATGTGGTCCTGCAACTGTATGTGCTTTAATATGTAACTCAAATAAGCACATGGCAATTTAAGAAATGTTTTGAAAGAGCTGATTTAATTATTCACTCATTTAAAAGCATTGTTATGCTTTTTCTTCAGAGACCTGCTTGAGGCGACTCATGAAATAAAACAGTGTAAAATAATAAAACCATTAAAATTCAAAAACTGTTGAAGACCCAGCCAATTAAAAAATACCAGAAACATAAAAGCAGCATAAAAATCCAGGATAAGAACCTGTCCCCAGCTAACTTATTGCACATCACTGATACGAGGCCTGTCATTGTAAAGCACAGGCAGGAGAGGGGCCTAAAAACTGAACACGGTTTATGTGAGGGGATTTTCACTTTCCCTGCCCTGCTTTCTTCCTAGTTGAGAGTCGCTGTGGATACGGTGCCCCCAGGGTCTTGGTACTGGGGCTGCCAGAAATTAAAAGCAGGCAGCTCATTGGCCTCGCTTCATAAAATTGCCTCTCCAATCCTCCTTTGCTATGAATTAATTACAGTTATTACCACCCCCCATATCTTTCCATCCACATATGGGACCGCCAAGAGGTTTATAAACAATGATAAAAAGCTTTCACCCCCTGATACTTAAAATCAACCAATAGTGCAAGAGCAAATCCTCTAAAACAAGTAGTAAATCAGTGAGAGCTCAAACCATCTGGAACCATGTGAAGAAGCACAGGATGTCAGGTACCACCTAGGTCCCACCCAGGCTGAAATAACAGTGTCTTGATTTGTTGCCTAATGGTGCACAGGGAGGGAGCCAGCCAGGCTTGTCCAAATAGAGAAGTCCAAAGTTAGGGTGCCACCACCAAGGCGGTATCTCTGGTAGCAGTGGTTGATGGCCTGATCACTGAACACTGATCAGAGCCTCCACTAAAATCCTCAAGAGATCCAGATCCAAACTGTTTAAGGCCTTAAAGGTCAAAGCTAGTACTTTGAATCTGGCTCAGAAACTGACCAGGAGCCAATAGTGACGGTACACTGTTGATGTAATGCCCGCACCCCAAGGCCCTGGTTAATATTTTAGCTCCTGATCACAGCATCATCACCTGACCATCCACAAGAACTCCCAGGCTGATTTTCAACAGTGACTGTAACCCCATCCAAAACAGGCTGCATGCTTCCTTCTTTCCAATTCCCCAAAGAGACACCATTAAGTTGCTTGTTGAAATTCAAGACAGAGCAGCTTATATGTGGTAGAGCATTGGGCAGCCACTTAGGGTTGGGGGCAGGGATTCCCTTCCTCATCCCTGTAAGTGTTGGAAGATGAGAACGAGGACCTGTTGGGATGGGAGCTGTTCCAGGAGGAGGAACTACTACAAAAACATCTGGTTCCTTTATAGGTCACTGAGATCAGCAATGTGAAATGCATCACGAGGCTACCCAAGGAAACCAAGCGGCAGGCTGTGGCTATCGTTTTTACTGATGACTCGGCTCGGACATTCACCTGTGAATCCGGTAGGAGGCTAAATATTCATTTATGAAATTTCTGGTAGTTTGCGTGCAATGGCATATATATATTTTGAGTGGGAAGCTGTTTGGGTGCATGTTTCTGGGTTTGCATTCAATAGTCTCTTCTGTGCAATGGGACCGGATACTGTCTGAGGGATGTTTCAATCTTGCAGAGCTGGAGGCCGAGGAATGGTACAAGACCCTGTCCATCGAGTGCCTGGGGGCCCGGCTGAACGACATCAGCCTTGGAGAGCCAGATCTGTTGGCGCCTGGAGTACAGTGCGAACAGACAGGTAAGGAACAATGTTCTCTCTAAGCTGTGGAGTCTTGTAAGCAAAAATTCTACTTTGTGAGCTACTAGCATTAAAGTTGTGAGCGAGCGATTTGGCTACTGCATAACCTAGTTTGCTCTGGAGCCATCCTTCCTGAACTGAGACAAAAATGTGTGAGCTGGAGGCTAAAAAAATGTGAACTAGCTCACACTAACTCAGCTTAGAGGGAACACTGGTAAGGAGGGACTCGGTAGCTTTGTGCTTGCCGTGGAGGAAGAAAATCGCAAGCTAGAAACAGTTATAAGAGACATGGCGATATGCACAGCACCCCACTGAGATTCAGGTTGTGACTTGGAGGTAGTCCAAGGAAGCCTTGGAAGTAGTCCTGGAAGCCAGGCTGGGAAATTGGAAGAAGGAGAGTTGGGGACCAAGCTGTGGTCAGTGGTCAGAGCCTTTATGCTCCAGAAGAGAATGGTAGGTACTACAGAGTAGGAGTCTGGAGAAGAGGAAACAAGGGTGCTGTTCCATTGCCCAAGCAAGCCCTTGATACCAGGGGCGGTCTTGGCCAATGAGCAATAGGGACAGCTGTCCGGGGCTCCATGCTGTAGGGAGCCTGATCATGCATGGTCCCACCCCACCCGGTGGAGGGGAGGAGGAGAAGGAAAAAATGCAGGCTCCTGCTGCTGCCACACCCATCCCATTAGCTTCTCCGGCTGCCCACTTGCTGGGACGGCCACTTGTGTCTGTCCTGTGTGGGGCTCGAGCAGGTGACTCCGCAGCAGCCACTTATGCCAGCTCCATCCAAGGCTTGGGCTGCCAGCTTCCAGCAGCGGCTCCCACTTGCCTCTCACAGGGTTTGCTTGTTCCTGGGAGAGGGGCCCCAGTGGGGTGTGGTAGTGATTCTGGGGGCCCATCCTAAACTTTTGCCCAGGGCCCCAGAATCACTAAGACCACCTTTGCTTGCTACCTGGCCAGTAGTGGCATGTGTCCAAGGAGGTGTGTACACCTGTGAGTTAGTGCTGTTCTGTTAATGGATGCATCATTGTAGTAGTGATAGCACTGTACACACCCACAGCTTTTGCACAATCGTGAGCACGAACCAGGTGTCATTGCATAAATGCGTCTTTGTGTAACAGCTGTGCAGGTGTGCAAACACCAACTTAGACCACAGTTGTAGTTTTTGTGCCAGTCACAGTCAGTGTTCCCTCTAAGCTGAGTTAGTGTGAGCTAGCTCACAGTTTTTTAGCCTCTGGCTCACACATTTTTGTCTTAGCTCAGGAAGGATGGCTCCAGAACAAACTAATTTATGCAGCAGCCAAATCTCCTGCTCACAACTTTAATGCCAGGAGCTCACAAAGTAGAATTTTTGCTCACAGGGCTCCATAGCTTAGAGGGAACTTTCACAGTGCAAACAGATTTCTCTGTGTACACTGACTTTTTTTTTGTGTGTCTACAAATTAAATACCAATATAAGGGCAGTTATCCTTGTGGAAGTGGACTGCAGGATGTGTGCCATCCTGGCCATCCCAATTCTAGGTTCTCTTGCAGGATGACTATCAGGTGAACCTGTGGCAAGGGACTGAGGCCATTCTGTTCAACATCTGGAGAAATTAAGTAGATCACAGGTGCCTCACCTGTGGTGTGTGTGTCTCAAATGCCTTCTGCATAGCAACCCAGGTCTTCCTTGGAGGTCTCCTATCCCACTACTAACCATGGCCAACCCTACTTAGCTTCCAAGCTCTAATGAGCTTGCACTAGTCTGGGCTGTTTTGGTTGCTGCATTCCAAACTACCCCAACCAAAATCAAACCCCAAATTAGCTGTTTTGGGTCTTCTTGGAAGTATCCAAAATGACCAAATCACTCCCCAATTTCTGGGAATAATGATAATTTATTCCCTGGAATTTCAGGAGCGTTTCATGTTTTGGGAGGCTCAGGAGCAGAGGTGGGGAAAGAGAAAGCAAGAGAAAATTACATGTGAGCCATTATTTTCTATGGGGATAGACCTGGCCTCTGGAGTTCGGAGTCCAGGTCTTCCTATAGAAAAGAACGACTTCTTTAAAATTTAAAGGGCATATACGCTGCCAAACAGGAGTTTGCCAGGATATGCTTTGTCTCTCCCCCCCCCTCACCTGCCTCTTGCTGCTGGGGGGCGGGGTGGGGAGATGATGTGGAGGGGATGGCAAAAATCATGATCCTGAAATTTTGGAATATGAAAAAGTACCCAAAATGGAATCCTGAAAATTGGTGTAATGAAAAGCATGCCCTCTCCAAAATGAAATTAATCTGAAATTTTTTGAAGTAGGCTCCCCTACGGAGCCTTCTTCCCATGGCCAGCTTTGAAGGAAATTATAGGCCACATCCCACCAGTCTTTCCTGCAGCTGCTGTTTTGGGTTGTAGCACAGAAACAGAAGGTGTGAGAAATAGCATCTTGATTGATAAAAGGGCCATGGCTGAGTGGTAGAACATCCGCTTTGCATGCAGAAGGTCCCAGGCTGAATCCCTGGCATCGCCAGTTAAAAGGATCAGGTTGGATGTGATGTGAAAGATCTTTGCCTGAGACTCAGCAAGTCATTGCTAGTCAGAGTAGACAGTGTTGACCTGGATAGATCAGTGGCCTGATTCAGTATGAGGTAGCTTCATTTTGAACTCACTGGCTGAGCATCTGCTTCACATACAGAAGATCCCAAGCTCAGTCGCCAGTTAGAAGGAGCAGACGGTAGGGGATTTTAAAGTCTTGACTTGACCCAAGACAGTTTCATGTGCAGGTTGTGTCTTGGTGGGGCTGTGGCTCTGTCACAGAGCATCTTTCCATGCAGAAAGTTCCCAAGTTCAGTTATCTCTAGCAACAAGGACTGGGTAGTACGTGATACAGAAGACCTCCACTTGAGATCCTGCAGAGCTACTAGGTAAAACTGACCTTGATGGACCAGTGCTCTGATTTGGTATTAGGCGGCTCCTCAACTGAGAGTGTGCATGTGCCAAAGTACTCCTTCCATTGGCTGTGTCAGCTCTGCTTAGCTGTTGATCCTTGATGTTCGCCACATGGACAAGTGTGTGTGTGTGGGGGGGGGCAGCTTTGCACACTACAGGGCCAGTGAGGTGCAGTGGTGTCAGACTCTAAGCAGGGTGTCTAACTTCAAATTCCCACTCTGGTGTAGGAGTTCACTAGGCGACCTTGGGCTAGTTGTACTCATAGAATCACAGAATCACAGAGTTGGAAAGGGCCATACAGGCCATCTAGCCCAACCCCCTGCTCAATGCAGGAGCAGCCTAGAGCATCCCTGACAAGCGTTTGTCCAGCCGCTGCTTAAAGACTGCCAGTGAGGGGGAGCTCACCACCGCCCTAGGCAGCTGATTCCACTGTTGAACAACTCTTATTGTAAAAAAGATTTTCCTTAATTTAAAGCCATGATTGCGAGTCCTATCCTCTGTTGCCAACAGGAACAGCTCCCTGCCCTCCTCTAAGTGACAGCCCTTTAAATACTTAAAGAGAGCAGTCATGTCCCCCCTAAACCTCCTCTTCTCCAGAGTAAACATTCCCAAGTCCCTCAGCCTTTCCTCATAGGGCTTGGTCTATTTATTTACATCATTTACTTCCTCAGCAGGGACCCAAAGCAGTTTGGATTGTCCTCTTCTCCTCCGTTTCCCCTCACAACCCTGTGAGGTAGGTTAGGCTGAGACTGTGTGACTGGCCACTCTTCTTCACCCAAAGAGTGATAAACACATGGAATTCACTGCCACAGGAGGTGGTGGTGGCGGCGGCTACAAGCATGGATGGCTTCAAGAGGGAATTAGATAAACATATGGAGCAGAGGTCCATGAGCGGCTATTAACCACAAGGTATAGATAGGAAGTCTGGGGCAAGTGATGCTCTGTATTCTTGGTCCTTGGGGGGGGGAACAGTGGGAGGGCTTCTAGTGTCCAGGCCCCACTGGTGGACCTCCTGATGGCACCTGGTATTTTTGGGCACTGTGTGACAGAGTGTTGAACTGGATGGGTCATTGGCCTGATCCCACATTGGCTTCTCTTATGTTCTTATGACCCAAGGTCACCCAGCAAGCTACCCTGGCAGAGTGGGAATTTGAACCTGGGACTTTCATGTCATAGTCTGACAATCTAACCACTACATCATACTGTCTCACAAGGTTGTTAGAATAAAGTGGAGGGGGTAGGGGACTGTATATGCCATCCTGTGCTCCTTGGAGAGTGAATAAGACAAAGACTGGGTAAACAAATATGGGGCTGCTACAGGACTTGCAGGGAATTCCTCAGATGGAAGAATGGGCCTGAACTACACTGAGATTCTACGGGAGTGGAGTTCTCCATCTGTAAAATGGTAGTGATGGTGGCCTCCATGTGGGCTGTAGTGAAAAGAACAAGGAGGTGGGGGTGTTCGTGTTTGGATTGGAGAAGAGACTTGAAACTGGAAGTGAGGTATGGGATATGGGCGTAGGAAAGTGATCGACTTGAGATGGGACGAGGATTTTTTTGGGGAGAGGATGGACGGGGTGGCAGGTTATAGCAGGCAGACGGTCTCCACAAGGGTTCCGTTGACCTCCGTCGATTGTGTCTCCTCCTGCAGACCGGTTTAATGTCTTCCTCCTGCCGTGCCCAAATCTGGACATCTACGGCGAATGCAAGCTTCAGATCACCCATGAAAACATTTACCTCTGGGATATGCACAATCCTCGCGTCAAGCTCGTCTCCTGGCCCTTGTGTTCGCTGCGCCGCTACGGACGAGATGCTACGCGGTTTACCTTCGAGGCTGGACGGTATGCTGTGTGCATATGAAGCGGGGCTCCCTCCCATGCAGACGCCACCCAAACCCTGATGATCCAAGGAGTTATTGTGTTTTGACAACAGGGAATTGCTTAAAGTACTGAATTCAGCCCCAGTTTCTTTTTCTTTTTTAATGTCATTTGTACCCTGCCTTTCTCTTCAATGGAGACCCAAAGCAGCTTACTGTCAGACCCCTGGAGAAATCAGTTCCCAACAACAGTCATTCAAAAGAATATAAAATTTATTGAGACATTGATAGGATCTAGACGCTAGACGTTCTGTGTTAGAACTAAGGGAAAGCACACAATCACACCTAAGCATGAGGGCCACTGAAATAACAGCTCATAGTTCCCAGGGGAAAGAAGACACCAGGCTCTGCTGGCACTCAAGGTTACTTGCTTAGGCCGACTAAGATAACAAGAGCAACATAGGAGAGGCTAAAAGCGAAAGTAGACATTCTTCACACTCCCCCGTCTGCGTGGCAGCCAAGCCTGAGAAAGCAGGTGGGAGGTTGATACCCTATTCTCCTCTCCTCCGTTTTATCCTCACAACATGCTGTGAGGCAGGTTGGGCTGAGAGTGTGTGACTGGCCCAAGGTCACTCAGCATGCTTCTGTGTTACCTCGGCACTCCCTTCCCTCAAATGGATGCAAGCCTGGAAGAACTTTGAAAACAGATGCTGGTCAAGTCAGACTTCACTCCATTTGCTCCCTCCATTCCCTGGACCTTCGGATGCGGGTGTCCAGATTTTTTAACCCTTCCTGTCCCAGCTGGGAGAGTTAAACTTTAACCTGTCATGAAACCGGGAGTGCGTGTCCCAAACTTTTAACTACCCCATTCACTATATCCAACTTGCCATCTGTCTTGCTCTTTCCTGGTGGGTGGGCAGATGGTCATGTGCATCCTTCCTATTTGTCTCCATAAAGGACACTCATCTTGTCCAAGCCTACAGATTCAGTAGTTTATAATTTCATTCCTAGAGAAAGATTTTCTCCCCTGTAAATTTTAATTAAGGGATCCTATATCTCTCTAACAGACATGACAGAAGGTAAGCCAGGTTAGCATTTGAGAGACGCGCACCTGTGCCCTGTGGCCTCCCTCAGCCGCTCCTCTCTGCATTTATTCATTTTTATTTAGAATGTTTAGGTACCCCATCTTTCTTACAACACAGTCGGGACCCAAGGTGGATGGTAACATTAAAAACAATGCAAAAATAATTGTCTGTTGCAATAATTAAACTGTATAAAACAGGAGAGCCTGAACAGGCCAGACTAGCCCAAGCTTGTCAGAGTTTGGAAGCTAAGCAGGGTTGGCCGTGTGTTAGCATTTGGATGGGAGACCACCAAAGAAGTCCAGGCTTGCTGTGTAGAGGAAGACAATGGCAAACCACCTCTGCTCATCTCTTGGCTTGAAAAAAACCATGAGTTGGTTGTGACTTGTTGACACAATTTAATTTTGGTATTTAGAACAGGTATGCTAGAGCCCGCTCAAGCGACTCCATAAGGTCTTTTAAAAAGCTTTCTCTGGAAGCCCCAAGGGTAGGCCTGACCCCTTTCAGGAGGCTGTTCCACAGCTGTGGGTTGGCAGCAGAAAAGACCTGGCCTCCTGGTATTTGCACGAACAAGGGGATTGCTAAGAGACTGTGCAGTGAGGGGCATGTTTGCCACACAGGTTCATATTTACTGTTAAGGACTTGCATGTTTCAGTCAGTCAGACTGAAACTCTTAATGATAGGCTTTTTTCTGTTTGTATTCTTAATTTATTGTCATAGTTGGGCTGGAATGGAAGGAAAAGAAAAGTGAAGGGACAGCGAAGGAAAGGATAGAGCTAGCAAGGAGGAAGGGAAAGAATGAGGGGGAAAACAGAAGGAAGGAAAAGGAATATGTATGATCGTAGCAGGAACTCCTTTGCATATTAGGCGACACACCCCTAATGTAGCCAATCCTCCAAGAGCTTACAGTAGCCCCTGTAAGAAGAGCTCTGCAAGCTCTTGGAGGATTGGCTACATTAGGGGTGTGTCACCTAATATGCAAAGGAGTTCCTGCTACAAAAAGAGCCCTGATTTATTCTCTGCAGGGTGAGGACAGCCCCCCACCCCCACTGTTGCTAAGCAAACACCACATGCGCTTCCTCTGATTTTTTCTCTCTTTAGTTTTGCATTTAAATGCCTGCTTATCCATTTTATTAACAAAATATTCACTACCCTAGTTTTTAAAAATAACAGGTTGTAGTATCATAGATGCCCTGACCTGGACGGCCCAGGCTAGGCAAATCTGATCAGATCTTGGAAGCTAAGCAGGGTCAGCCCTGGCTAGTATTTGGAGGGGAGACCTCCAAGGAAGTCCAGGGTTGCTGTGCACAGGCAGGAAGTGGCCAACTACCCCTGTTCATTACTTGCCTTGGAAACCCGATGGGGTTGCCATAATTGGCTGCGCCTTCACAGCTCTTCCCACCAAACGTATCACAGATAGCCAACCAGTGCAGTCTACAGTGAAGACGTTTGCAGAACTGGTTTCCCTCCCAAGCTCAGTCAGAGAGAGAGAGAGAGAGAGAGAGAGAGAGAGAGAGAGAGAGAGAGAGAGAGAGAGAGAGAGCACATGTGTGAACAAGAGGCAGATGAGAACATTTCCACAGCTGCTCTATTGCTCAAATTCATATCCATCTGTCCTTACCCCAAAGAGAACTTGTACTGGGCCAAAGAATGATTTTTTCCCTTCATGTTGACCACTCGGGATCCTTGTTGGTAGATCTGTCCCTGTTATGATTGGCCAAAAGCCACACCGTGGTGGGTGAAAGGACCCATCACGGGAAATCTCACTCTCAAAGAATAAAACTGAAATGTGGGACATTGTCAGTCTGTGCTGGGATTTCAACCCTCACACACACACACCCCAAGCCAGAAGTCTGTTCCTAGGAGCTTTTTGGCCTCTCCCTCCTTCTCTGAACTTTTTGCAAACTGATTTAAACCATCCCAAGTCCGCACCTATTAGCCGCTCCAGCTAATTACCAGCTACAAAGGGAAAAGAAATTTGATCTTTTCCTTTTATCCCAGACCTTCACTGACTCATTCTGCCTGGTTTTTATACAGAGATTAGAGAAATCCTCCCAGCTCCAGACCCACCCTGCTCTGAGATCTCGGAACAGGCTGTGCTTTGACAATAAAACTGTTTGTTTCTCTGGGAGTTTAAACCCCACTCCCGCCCGCCCCAGTAGTTCATGGCTTTCAAAAAAAAAAAAAAAAGGCAGAAGCTTCATTCACCTCTCTTTTCCCAGTATGAGAGGATCTCAAATCTTTGAAACAAGAAAAGAATGGGGGGATTTGTTCAAAACGGTATCCCTTATGATCCTTAGCTTGTGTGTAGGCTGTCCATGCTTGCTTACTTCATTTGTAGCCTTCTTTTCTCCTCAGTGCAGACCCAGTGTGGCTTACCTAATTTGTATCTCCTCCATTTTATCCTCACAACAACCCTGTGAGGTAGGTTAGGCTGAGGGCACGTGACTGGCCCAAGCAGTCACTCAGCTAGCTTCCTGGCAGAGTGGGGATTTGAATCTGGGTCTCCCAGAACCTAGTCCAGCCGTCTAACCCCTATACCACCCTGGCTGGGCAAATCTTACACTGTGGTCCTGCATACACTTACGGAGAAGACAGTACCACTGAACTTAGTGAAATTACTTCCAAGTAATCAGGCTGTTTTATCATTTCCCTAAAATTTAGGGGTTTGTTCATACGTCAGGGTAAGTAAGGCAGTATTCCTTGTTTTCCAGTTAAAGAAAAATAACCATAATTCACAAAATGAGCAGAAGGAACCCAAAACAGTGAACGAGAGTGCTGTGTTGTGGTCAGTGCTCCCTGACTTGCTGGTTGCTTGTTGGAAAGTTGGGTCCAGACGTCATTCATTTCAGATCCATGTTGTGAAGAGACTCTTGTCTCCTCAGAGATGAGTGAGTCCCAGAAATCATGCATGCATTTGCAGGCACTTATTTGTTTATATCCCACCCCCCACCCCCTGCTGGGACTCAAAGCGGCTTAGAACGGCATTTTCCCCTCCATTGTTTCACAACAACAAACCTGTTGTGAGGTAGGCCAGGCTGAGAGTTGCGATGGTTCACCCAGTTCACCCAGCAAGCTTCTGTGGTGGAAGTGGGGATTCGAACCTGGGTCTCCCAAGGTCCTAGTCCAGCACTCTGTCCTTTACACCAGGCTGGTTGCACCTGGCCATCTGGGACCAGTAGAGTAATAGGTATCCCGTAATGTCGTATGGCTCCAATACCAAGGCCCTCATGACATGCTCTGAGAACTAGCAGAGTGTGAAATGTTGGGCTAGGATCTGGGAGCTCCAGGTTCAAATCCCCACCGGGTTATGAAGCTCACTGGGTGACCTTGGTCCAGTTGCTCTCTCTCTCAGCCTAAAATACTTGATATGGCAGCTGTGGGGATAATAGAGGGAAGAGAGCCAGGTACACTGGATGGGGTCCAGATTTGCAAGACAGATAGTACTGTGTAGTTACCCCAGTGTGGTGTGGTGTGGTGGTTAGAGAGTCAGACTAGGATTGGGAGACCCATGTTCAGGTCCCGATTCTGTCATGGAAGCTGGCTGGGTGATCTTTGGCCAGTCACAAGCGCTCGGCCTAATCTACCTCGCAGGGTTGGTATGAGGATAAAATGGAGGAGAGGAGAGCGATTTAAACTGCTTTGGGTCCTTACAGTAATAATAAGCTTTTTCCTGGTTCCCCAAAGGCAGGATTCGAAACTAACAAATGGTTGTTGCTTTTAGTTTCCAAACTTTCAAGTTGTTCCAGGGAATTCTGACCATTGCTTGGTTGGGACTGTTGGATGACACTAGATGACAACTTTGTGTGTTGCGTGATACAGTGGCTCTAGGGTAACATGAGTGGCACTGCCCAGCCTGGAGGTGAGCCCCAGTTAAGCAGGAAGGCGGGGACAAGCAGTCCAGTCAGAGGCTTTTTATAGAACCAGGTGGAATCCCATTGGTCTCTCATGTCACTTGACCATTACCAAGGTACACCTGCTGCAGCTATGCAGCGGGCGTATTTATGAAACCCCCTGTATGTGATTTAGGTATGCGTGTGGCTTAAGTGTGTGTTTTTGTTGATCTGTGAAATGTCGGGTAGAAAGTGGCATTTGGGGTGAATGGGAAACATGGGGCATGCATAGCCGGCCTCTCGTGCACGAGTCTCGTGAACAATCTTTGCGGTTAAAAGCAGCAGACTCTAATCTGGAGAATCGAGTTTGATTCCCCACCAATGCTCCCTCTAAGCTGTGGAGTCCTGTGAGCAAAAATTCTGCTTTGTGAGCTCCTGGCATTAAAGTCGTGAGCGAGCGATTTGGTTGCTGCATAAATTAGTTTGCTCTAGCCCACCCCTCCTGAGCTAAGACAAAAATGCGTGAGCTGGAGGCTAAAAAACTGTGAGCTAGCTCACACTAACTCAGCTTAGAGGGAACATTGTTCCCCACTCCTCCACATGCAGCCAGCTGGGTGACCTTGGGTCAGTCACAGCTCTCTCAGAGCTGTTCTCTCAAGAGCAGTTCTCTCAGAGCTCTCTCAGCCCCAGCTACCTCACAAGGTGTCTGTTGTGGGGAGAGGAAGGGCAGGACATTGTAAGCTACTCTGAGTGAAGGAGAGGGTATAAGTCCAACTCTTCCTCCTCCTCTTCCTCCTCCTCCTCCCCTTCTTCCTTCTCACCTGTCATTATACAATGCTTCCCATTTTTTCTCTGCAGGATGTGCGACGCAGGGGAAGGGCTCTACACCTTCCAGACCCAGGAGGGGGAGCAGATCTACCAGCGGGTCCACAGTGCCACTTTGGCCATTGCTGAACAGCACAAGCGGGTTCTGCTGGAGATGGAGAAGAATGTGCGGGTGAGCTTCCACTTCCAGAGGGGTGGGGTGTGTGTGTGTGTGTTTGTGTGGCGGGAGGGTTGTCCGTTTCATCTCTAGGTACTGTGAATCGAGTGCTGGAAACACCGGTCACTTATAAAGATTGAACCGTATGCATTCATTGGGATGGATGAAAAGGGATTTTTTGTAATGATGCAGGATTTCGATTGCCCAGGCTGCGTCTCTTTGAAACATGCCCAGATTGCATATCTAAACCAACATTTCCTCTTATAAGAAGAGCCCCGCTAAATCTGACCCGTTGTCCATCTAGTCCAGCATCCTGTCTCACACAGTTGGCCAGCCACTTGCCCTGGAGGACCAAAAACAGAGCACAGAGGCCAAGACCTTCCCTTGATGTTGCCTGCTGGCACTGGTATTCAGAGGTTTACTGCCTCTGATTGTGGAGGTTCCCTTTAGTCTCCATGGCTAGTAGCCTCTTCCCCAGGGTTACCAGATTCTTCTCCTTTAAGATGAAAACAAAATCAGGAATCATGCAGTGACTTTAAAGGCTCCGAAGATTTTTTTCTAGCACAAGCTTTCACAGACTGGAGTGTGACTTCATCAGATGCGTGTAGCGGGCCTTTGCTAAGCTGAGAGAAAGTCACATATCCACACAAATACACATGCACAATCCACGTGGTTATAAAGGGGGAAAGCAGGGTGTAGTGAGGGGAGGAGAAGAGCAGACAGATGAGACTTTGTGGGTCAGTCACTCCCCAAATAGTCAGACTGGGTGACAACAGGGAGCCAGCCCTGTGTGTCAGTGCAGAATCCATTTTCTTTTGGTAGACCAATCACAGCCCTTCTTATAATTTTCTCCTTATTTGCAAGGGAGGAATTGTGCAGTTCTAACATTATTTTCTCTCTTCCAGCTGTTGAACAAGGGCACAGAACACTACTCCTACCCATGTACACCTACGACCATGTTACCACGTAGTGCCTACTGGCACCACATCACCGGCTCTCAGAACATTGCGGAATCCTCCAACTACGGAGGTGAGTTTCTCTTCAGTTAAGTAGAATCTTGACTTGACTTTCCCCAGAATTCATCTAGTTCCTTCCTCTTCTCAACTAGCATGTGTGTGTGTGTGTGTGTGTGTGTGTGTGTGTATGAGTACCTGGAAGTCATGGTTGACTTCTGGCGACCCCTAGTGGGACTTGGACATTTCAGAGAGGTGGCTTACCTATACATCTCAGCCCTGGTATTCCTTGGAGGTCCCACATCCGAGTACTCTGCTTAGATTCTGAGTAGTGTTCCCTCTAAGCCATGGAGTCCTGTGAGCAAAAAATCTACTTTGGGAGCTACTGGCATTAAAGTTGTGAGCGAGTGATTGGGCTACTGCATCAATTAGTGTGCTCTGGAGCCATCCTTCCTGAGCTAAGACAAAAATGTGTGAGCCGGAGGCTAAAAAACCGTGAGCTGGTTCACACTAACTCAGCTTAGAGGGAACTCTGATTCCGAGATGTGACATTTTTTTGATTTTACAGTTGTGTAAGCCAGATATGAGCATGGGGAGTCTCTTCCCTTCTCCAGTGTACCTACTGACTCCTACAAAGTACCTGCATGGTAGGGCTGCCAACTTCCCATTGATGGCTGGAAACTTCCCAGAATTCCACTGATCTGAAGACTACAGAGATCAGTTCCCCTGGAGAAAATGGTGGCTTTGGAAGGTGAACTCAATGGCATTATAGCCTGCTGAGGTCTCTCCCCTCCCCAAGCTCCCCCCGCAAAATCTCCAGGGATTTCCCAACCCAGAGCTGGCAACCCTCCTGCGTGGGATCACCTGTCACCCGCCTTTGAGCCAATTTTTGTTTTTAACTTCAGCTCCAAAGATTCGTGGGGTGGGCAGTATTGAACTGCAGGTGGTATTTGGGGCTCTGTATTCAGACTTTTTTTAATGCAGTTGTTAATCTTAAAAATCTTATTTTTAAAAAAATGATTTTTATCTAGTTTCATTTCTCTATAATAAAGAAATTAACCAGATTAATAAATCTGATCAAGCTGTTTCAGGCTGGATGAAATTGTTTGTAGGCCAAAGCAAAACTAAACCTTGGGGTCATGAAATTGACTACCTGTGGGTTTAGGACAGACAGCTGTAGACGATCTGTAAGGAATTTACTGGTTTAGATAGCTTTGGGTTGGGGGGGGTAGACAGATGCTTGGAGGACAAGTCTCATAGCAATTGCTGACCATAATCGCTACATGGATTCTTCATGTTCGGAGGCAGACCTCTGAACACCTGTTGCCAAGGTAGCTGGAAAGGGCTACGCTTGTGACTTCCTGGCTAGCCACAGTTGGAAACAGGATATTGGACTCTGTGGACTTTTGTTCTGATCCCACAGGGCTCTCTTTTAGATTTGTATCCTCAAATCCAGCCTGTGATCTTTCCAGTAAGTCATCCCTGGATCAAGAGCTCACTTTTGCATGCTTTACATTAGTAGACAGACATGGATGAAGGAAGCGGACTGTACATCCCCCAGTTTCGTGCCACATTGTGATGCTATCCCTGCACACCCAACCGTTATTAAACATTTTATTGACCTGTTAATACATAATGGATACAATCTAACCAAAGTAAAGTGCTTTTTAAAAGTCTCCTTGATTTCAGCGGGAGAGCTAAGTATGCCCTTAAATCCCTTCCGTGGAAACCAGCGTGACTCCAGGGTGCTTAGCTGTCGGCTGAATGGAGTCTGACTTCATATTGGTTCGTTTAGATCGTAAATAATAATAGCGATAATAAAAGGAACCCATTATTGCCTGTGTTTAAATCTGTTACGATACGTAGCATCAGTCTCGTAATTCGGGATGTGCTTCACATCCTTTGGCTGCATCCTGGCGTCATGACAAAACCTCTTTCGATAGCCGTGCTTGGAGAAATGCACGTGAGACCTTCCTGGTTGTATATATATTTGATATGATGTGCCAGTGTCCCCACCTGGTCTCATTTGCATTTGCTTTCCTCAGTCTCCAGCAATCAGGCACACTGTCTCTGAACCCAGGAGCCCCATTTGGCTATCGTGGCTAACCACTATCCTCCATAAATTTGTCCACCTCCCTTTTAAATCCAGTGACCATCACTACATCTTGTGGCAGTGAGTTCCCCAGGGCAGCTACCCACTGTGTGAAGGAGGATTTCCTTTTTGTTCATCTTTGAATCTACTGTTGATTGGTTTCATAGGGTAACTCCAATGTCTAGCATTAGAAGAGGAGAATAGTTTCTCCTTCCTACGATGCATAATTCTTGAGACCTGTGCCCCCCCCCTTTATGGAGAAGACCTCTCCTCCTCTTGTGAACTTATCTGATTCCCCCTCTTAACACTGATATGTTTCTCCAAATAGAAACCGGTTCTGCTGTCTGGTCCACAGGCAACGCCTACTCGGGGCCCCAGGCCAGCTCAGAGACCGACCTCCTGAACCGATTCATCTTACTGAAGCCAAACGTCCCCAAAAGCAGCAAGAACGAGAGCAAAGAAGCCAATTCCGCTTCACACTGACGTGGCCCTGGATGGGAGAGGTCAGGATGTTGGCTCCGTCAGAAAGGGGAGTGGGCTCCACACCCGAAGACTTTTTAAAAGAAAATTCCAGTGCCTGCTCCCCTCCTTTTATGAGGGGGCTGTGGTTTGAGGACAGCTGCTTTTTTTTGCTGCAGGAGAAGGGGGCAGAATGGGCACAGAAGTAGTTCTGTGGAGAACGTTCCGTATTCAGGAGTTGGGCCTGAAATGTCTGCCCGGCAGGTCAAATGTTGCTAGGCCCAGCGTGAGGGTGAGAACATGGAGGACTGCTATCTATTGTCAAAACAATTTTAAATATATACTATGGCTTATGCATATTCTATATATCCATAGGGGGGGGGGTTCTCTCACACAAATGCACATTTCGTAGCTACGAAGGTGAGATTTTTAAACTATTGGTGGGTGGGTTGGGATTCCCCCCCCCCTTTCATAGGGACTGCAACTACAGACCAAAGGGGAGAAGTTTTAGTCATGGAGGAAAGAAAGCCTCCCAAATGGGTTCTCTAAGGGACAAGAAGGCGTCATTTCTGGTGGCCTGTGAGGATGAGGAAGGTTTGTCGCTGACAGAGGCCTAGAGAAGAAAAAAAGCCTTGCAACCGAACAGTGGGGCTTCTTTTGGGGGAACACTTGCCTCTGACATCACCCAGCCGTCGAGGTGGTCAAAAATGAAATAGAGACGATCAGTCCTGCCCTTTCCACAGTCCTGTGGGTGAAAACGAGCACGTTCGGCCCTAAAATATTTGCTGGAGAACTTTGCAAGTTCAGACTCAGAGTGACGTTCATGCTGCTCTGAAACGATAAAAACCTGCTCTTGGGCGCCTGCAAACACACCGTAGACTTTTGCGATGTCTCAGGAGAAAGCGTTTTTTCTTTCCGGGCTCTGACCTCTGCACAAGTTTCCTTCCCTCTGGCCTTCTGTGGGGGAGGCGCGTGCTGTCTTAGCGTGGGGCCGCCAGCTCAGGATAGGCAGTGAGGGTGTTTCACTCGATGGCGGGTGTGTCGGCCACCCTTCGTGGGTACTTTATTAACCAATGGCTAATTGCAAAGGTGGGCTCACCTTCCCCTTCCAAGTTTGGGTGCTACATGAAAAAAATATGCACACAGGCCACTCGAATGAGGCCGATTTCACACAGATATTGTGTGTGTGTGGGGGGGATCCCAGCTGAGGTTGCCTTGTTTTAACCGTGGCTGATGAAAAGGTAGTTCTTGCTGGCTTCCCTCTAGGTAGGAGAAGTTTCCTCTGCCTCAATCCCTACCCACTTCCCACAATCCCACCCTACAAGGCAAAGCTCAGCTTCCTGTCAGGGGCCTGCCCCGTTGGCCCTTTCTTTTCTATACCTCCAACAGGCCTGCCGAGCTCCGTCCCCCGAACGTTCCGCACGCTGCAGAAGTTAGTTTGAACCTTCCTTTGACTGGCTGGAGACAATCAGTTGCTCACCGGAGGGGGGGAGTGCTTTTTCTTTCCCCAGACTCTACTCCCTCAAACCGATTTCAATAATTGCTTTCTCTATCCGGAATATCCCAGCCAACACTGAATACAGTCGGCTATCGAGTTGCTAAGTTCTTTTAAAGTTGGAAATCAAGCCTTCAGCACCTCTACAAGGGGCTTAATTTGCAGGCTGTAACAGATGGTCACGCTTCTCTCCATGGTAAGAGAAAGCTTCACCAGCTCACACACCTGCAGACTGAGCCACTCTTGAAGCTGCAGAAGCAGGCTGAACTAGACTTTTGCTGGTCAGTTGGCAACCCGGTTTTCTAATCCCTCTCCGATCCTTCCACTCCAGAGGCCAGCGTCAATCCCAGCAAAGATTTCAGCCCAATTTCCTTTGCTTCTGTCCTCTGCATTTTCTCCCATCCCTTAGCTAGCTTGTAAAGAAGAAAGAGTGAAACACTTTTCACATTGTGGTTGGCTTTTTCCTATGCTGACATTTAAAATACACACAAACACACACACACAAAAAGCAATTGATTTTTCTAGTTTTACTATTTATTGAATACCTTTTAGAAGGGCTATCTTTTTATTGTAGTACAAACCTTGGTATTGTGTTTTTTTTGTTTTTGTTTTTGTGTTTTTTTAAAAACAAAATGCTGGAGGTACTTAACTTATACTATCTTGTGGTCTGTCATGTGTAAATAACTGTGTTTTTGGATCCTGTGTCTACGTAAGAAAAAAGGAAAGAAACTTCCTAGCAGATCTGGAAAAAAATCCAAAAAAAGCAAAGAGGGAGGGGATCCAGCAACTGCCCAAGCTGTCTTTGTTCCAACTTCAAAAAATTTTAATGCCAAAATCTTGCGGGAGGAGAGATCCACAAAACAACACCCTTGCAGAGGCTTGTTTGCAATATTTGTTGAGAACTGGCGTAACTCAGTGCTCTTATGTGGCTGCTGAAGGAGCTGTCCATCCCCTCCCCCAGACTAGTCATTTATTCCCTCTTTTCTCTCCACTGGGGGGACCCGAAGTAGCTTACAGCATTCTCCCCTTCCCCATTTTATCCACACAACAACCCTATGAGGTAAGTTAGGCTGAGTGTGTGTGTATGTATGTGTGACTGACCTGAGGTCACCCAGTAAGCTTCCACAGCAGAATGGGGCCTCCTAGATCCCAGTCTCCAACCATGGCACCACCTTCTTAACAGCATCATCCCTGCTGGCTCTTCAGCCATCAAGAAGAAGAAGAGATTGAATTTATACCCCACTCTTCACTCGGAGACTCAGAGCGGCTTACAATCTCCTTTCCTTCCCCCTCCCCACAACAGACACCCTGTGAGGTAGGTGGGGCTGAGAGAGCTCTCAGAGAACTTGCTCTTGAGAGAACAGCTCTGAGACAACTGTGACTGACCTGAGGTCACCCAGCAGCTGCATGTGGAGGAGTGGGGAATCAGACTTGGTTCTCCAGATTAGAGTCCACCACTCTTAACCACTACACCAAACTGGTGTTCCCAAGGGCGACCATGCGGCCGTTTCTGGTTGTTCTGCCATGTTTTTTGAACATGAATCTCTTGGGGAGTTTAGCTAGAGCTTGAGTGTGATGTGTGGATCTTACTCTGCGAAGAGTCCTTGCAAATTGAGAGGGGTGCACCACTGCTAGGCAGCTTTGGCCAAAGTCCATCCTGGGGGTCTCTCCCAGTTGCCTCTCTGATTTCTTACATGCTTGTGCTCTCTTTTTTGTACCTGCACCCCTGGTGGTAGGCTCATATTCCTTAGCCCAGACCTGCTTCTCGGAAAGAAGGTTATTCCGTTTCTTGGGCCAGGGGAAAGAGCTCCTGAACCCCCTCTGAGATTGGGGACCCCTCGTTTTTCTCGTGATAAGAATCCAGCTCTACAAAGACAGCAGGATTTATTACAGAAGTGGCCAAGTGGACCGTGCCCGTGGTGGCCGGAGCTACCAGCCTCCAGGTGGGGCCTGGCGTTCTCCTGGAACTACAGCTGATCTCCAGACTGACAAGATTGGTCCCCCTGGAAAAAAAAGAGCCGCTCTGGACAGCAGTCCCTGGGCCAGCTCCACTGAGCTCCCGCCGATCCCCAAATGCCGCCCTTCCCAGGCACTGACCCCAAGTTCCCAGGAATTGCCCAAGACAAGAGTTGACAGCTGTAATGGGGGTGGGTCTATTCTTGAATTATTTTCCTTCCTATGTAGAACATCTCCCTTCAGGTCAGAAAGTCGCAAGGCAGGGAGACAAGGCCAGCTCTCCCCTCTCCCAGGCTGGTATGTCTGCAGGGTGTGGTTTACATTTGGGGGAATTAAGAGCACTACCACCACCACCACCCCCATTGCACACGTGCCCCTGAAGTCTAAACTGGGGGCATTCCGTGCTTTCTCCCCGTACTTTCTCATCTCCATTTTGGGTGCAGTGCTTCCCCCCCCCCCACCTCACACATGTGGTGCTGAGATCAGAATGACACTGAAGGGTTACATATTGGGGGGTATCAGAAAATATTTTGGCGCACGAGGCTGGGTTCCGGCTGGTATCTGGACAGTTGTTCAGAACATTCAGTGTCCTGTCGTTCCAGTAGCTGGTCCCAAAATGAGGCAGCTGTTTAGGGCAGGATTCCTAAAGTCACACCAAAGGGAGTCCGTTTCGTTATTGAATTTATTATATTGATTATTTGCAGGGAAGTCGGAGGAAACCATTTTCTGATGGACGTTTCTCCACTCCTTTGGAAGCGGGGAGGGGGGGAGTGTCTGGATTTTATGGCAAATCCTTCATAGAAAAGAATTCTGCACCTGGAAGCTAAAAGTATATATGTGCATCTGTTTCCTTTGAATTGTATAATTGGTTCTGTCCCATGACCCATGGGGAGGGGGAAAGACCAGTCGGGCCCCAAGGCTTCCTCTATGACCACTGGGATTCCCACTGACCCCTCAGGCTGCCAAGGAGCTCACCAGATGATACTCAGGCTATTTTGAAAGGGGAGTGGAGACCCTGCATTGTCTGTGCGCTTGTGGAAGGAGGACCATGACAGGACTACACTGTCGAGTTGGGAGGGAGTTTTGGGGAGCACTTGGTTATGGCGCTGCTTGAGGGCGGCCCACCTGCCTGCTGATAATTCAATCCTCTTGCTCCCAGTTTTCTCAAGGGCCCCTGGACCTTTTGGGGCACTTGAGAGTTAATGGATTGTGGGTGGGGACCTCCAGCAACTACCTGTGCTTGGCGCCCTTAGGAGCTAGCCATGGTGGGAGACAGTGTTCCCTCTAAGCTGAGTTAGTGTGAGCTAGCTCACAGTTTTCTAGCCTCCGGCTCACACATTTTTGTTTTAGCTCAGGAAGGAGGGCTACAGAACGAACTGCTTTATACAGTTGCCAAATCGCTCGCTCACAGTTTTAATGCCAGCAGCTCACAAAGTAGAATTTTTGCTCACAAGACTCCATAGCTTAGAGGGAACATTGGTGGGAGATACCTAGTGTCTCTTCTAGGTTAACATTCTTCTCTTGAAGACTAACAAAATATGTGGCAGGGTATGCTCTTTCGTGCATCACTGCTCACTTCTTCAGCTACTTTCTTCAGATTCTTCTTCCGTTACTTCAGATACGTCTGAAGAAGTGAGCGGTGACTCATGAAAGCTCATCTCCTGCCACATACTTGGTTAGTCTTTAAGGTGCTCCTGGACTCTTGCTCTTTTCTACTGCTACAGACAGACTAACATGGCTACCCATCTTGACTCAACAGTTTGGTGTAGTGGTTAAGTGCACGGACTCTTAATCTGGGAGAACCGGGTTTGATTCCCCACTCCTCCACTTGCAGCTGCTGGATGACCTTGGGCAAGCCATAGTTCTGTCAGAGCTTGAAAGGGCAGTTCTGGAAAGAGCTCTCTCAGCCCCACCTACCTCACAGGGTGTCTGTTGTGGGGAGGGGGAGGGAAAGGAGTTTGTAAGCCACTCTGAGTGAAGGGTGGGGTATAAATCCAATCTCCTCTTCTCTTGAATACTCAAAGTTGCCTTAAAGCGGGTCAGATCCTTGGTCTCTCCAAGTCTACTCTGACCAGCTATGGCTGTCCAAGGACTTGGGCGGAGGTCTTTCACATAACCTCCTACCCCATCCTTTTAACTGGAAATGCTGAGGATTGAACCTGGGATCGTCTGCATGCCAAGCAGATACTCTTCCACTGAGCCACACACCATCCCCTCCAAAGATCTGAGGATGTCATTCTTAGGCCATCATACGCCAAAAACCTTGCCGGATGAACCATCCGAACATTTTGGGGCTCCCTGACATGGAAGAGGTTCCCAAAACTTCTCTGGGCAGCTCCTTTGGTTGCTGAGCTGCTCTGATAATAAAGGGACTTTAAGAGGCACCCCTCGAAGAACTGTGACAACTTTGCTCTCCTACGTTGCCTTCTGCTGTGACGGTAGCCCCGGCCCACACCCCTTAGAGTCCCATCTGTGCTTATTTCCAATGACTCCAGTTCTGCTAAGCAGGGAGTGTGCAGATCAGAAAAGGGCAGCAGGACACAATCGGGTTGATCTCTGTCTTCCTCAAAGCTCCCAGAGAGGCAGCCACAAGGCCCTCTTGGTTTAGGAAAATGCTTTGTGGCAGTTGCCCCCCCCCGCCCCCTAGGACCATCTTGGGCATTTTTCCAAAGTGTGCTTATGGCTGGACTCCTCCTAATCCATGTTGGCATTTTGCAAAGCCTGTGTACGGGGGCAAGGGGGGAATATCCCAGATTAGGAATACAGAATACATCGTGGCCCTACAGCTGGAATCGAAGTTGGAACAAGGAAAAACTTGGGACAGGGAACTGCAACTGGGCTGGCCCTGGATTATATGAAGCACAGACAAGCTTGAACTGACGACAAGAAGGAGCTCATAAAGGGTTTGCCAAAAATGTTTTTGGGTTTTTTCTTTTTTTTAATGGAACTGCTCAGTCAATAAAGAGACATTACTCACTATCCCGATCTGGTTTTGTGTTTTTAAAGTCCAGAGGTGTGAGAGATCATGGTGTAATGAAACACAATTTTTTCCCTGTGCTCCTGCACCCTCAACCAGTTCTCGGGGGGCTCTGTGCTCCAAACATGAGGCTGCAGTGTCTTCCAGCAGGAGGGTAGCGCTGCAAGGATTACAGATGGTCTCGTTTTAAAGCAAGACGGCTTTCGTCTGTGCTCATCAGCAAACTCCCCTCTGCTAAAATTGAAAAAAAGACCAAGGAGCACAAAGAAAAAAAGTCTACCGTTTCAGGGACAGCAAACCACTTATCAGATCTTTGGAAGGTAAGCAGGGTCAGTTTGGATGGGAGACCACCAAGGGATTCCAGGGTTGCTATGCAGAGGCAGGCGATGGCCAAGCACCTCTGAGCGTCTTTTGCCCTGAAAACCCCACGAGTGGGTCGTGATAAGTCAGCCATGATTTGACGGCACTTTCCCACCACCGCATGAAAATACAAACTGTCCGCCTTCTCCGCTGGGGACACTGGCTCCCAGGCCACTGCCTGCCAGCTGCAAAAAGCCTTGGTTCCATAAGAGCTCAGTGGCTGTAGAGCCACAGACCAGCAAGGTACACTGGGCTCCCATTCACTTTGCCAGTCCTGCAGTCAACGTCTTCCTCCTTGTGAGAAGAAGCTTCTTTGTGGATGCTGCATATGGTCTGGGGGGGGGGGGGGGGAGGCTGTGCTCATGCCCAGAAAATCCCAGTGTTGGAGGATGAGAGCCCTGCCAGTGAAGAGGGTCCCAACAGACCCCATTTATATGGAGTACCACGTCACTCCCATTAGGACCGCAGCACAGAGGGTGGGTGAGTGCATTCGTATGTGTGCTTTGCACTGAACACAGAGTTCCTCACATTAAAAAAACCCCCAAGACAGCATGCCCTTGAGGAAAAGCAACACACTTAATTTTTAATGGCCAGAAGAACAAATCCTCATGCTTGTTATCAACAGCTCCCTTTGGGGAGCACTGAAGGCTGGTTGGGGGATCGACACACTTGCTGTTCTGCAGGAAAATACAAAGCAAATAGGATTTGGTGCACAAGAAGCAGGTCCATCGCCTGCGTCAACGGCATCTCAATTTCTACTGCCTCCATTTACTTAACAGTAAGCATGTCATCCAGGTCCCAGAAAAGGGAAAGAACTTGACTCGATGTATGGGTGGCATGTCATTCCGAATCTTGTTTATTTGAAAATTTCTACTCCACCTTAGAGAACTGGACAAATTCATGGCTCTATGGCCATAACTTAATGGCTAATGGGAAACACCATGTTGTGTGTGTGTGTGGAGGTTACCACAGAGGAAGGCCTGGGCGTTTGTGGGCATTCTGGGGAAATGCCACATTGGAATACGGAGAGCACTGTTCTGATGCCGCAGGGCTGCTCTCGTGTTCCTTCCTAAATTTCAAGGCAGTCAAAGATAAAACTGTAGAAATACAATTGGTCTTAGAAGCTAAAAATAATCCACGTGCCCAGCCAAAACAGCTCACACCACTTTGGTGTAGTGGTTAAGAGCAGCAGACTCTAATCTCCCACTCCTCCACATGCAGCCAGCTGGGTAACCTTCAGTCAGTCACAGTTCTCTCAGAGCTGTTCTCTCACCAGCAGTTCTCAGCCCCACCTACCTCACAGGGTGTCTGTTATGGGGAGAGAAAGGGATGGAGATTGTAAGTCACTCTGAAGGGCAGGGTATAAATCCCTGTATTCTTGTAGACATATTAGAGAAACGCTTGTGGAAAAGGACACCTTTACAAGCTCTAAAAACAAGCTAGGAACAAAGGTGTCTTTAGCGTTTTTGGTAGGCCACACCACTGAACTAGAGACACCAGCAAAATGGCATGTGCGTACCTCGCTGCCGAGTCAGTGGGCTGTTGAGCAGCCGCACCACTGAACTAGGGACACCAGCAAAATGGCATGTGCGTTCCTCGTTGTATCTGGCTGCCGAGTCAGTGGGCTGTTGAGCAGCCTTCAGTGGGCTCACAGATGGAAAATCGGTCCTTTGAGAATGTGGCTCCAAGGCTGTGAAGGGCCTTACAGGGGAATAACCAGGACCCTGAATTTCCTCTGGAAGCCAGTAATGCTGTTTCGAAAGAGGCTTAATACCACCCGATGCCAATGAACAAGCATGCGACTTTATAGACTACTGGGTGACTGGTAGCTAATGTGCCAACGAACCCCACTGAATGGCTCTGTGCTTGAAGCAGTATGTGGAATATAGATTCTCTCTGTTGGCCCATTCACAGATACTAATCATCAAAAGATGAACACAGAGGTGTGAAGCAGCCCTCTTTAACCCAGAAACTATCTCAAGCCTTAGGGCAGACTGTATGCCTCCTTTCCTGCAGTCTCTGGCTGCTAGCAGTGCCAAGCCTGACCTAAGCTTGATGCTCACGGGAGGGGGGGGGATTTATTTGTGTAATTTTGCTTGTGTCTAGCAACCTTGGCATACCAGTGAAACCCACCTAGGATGCAGATCACTGACATGCTAACATCATACAGGTAAGTCACTGAGGATGCAGTTCAGACCAGATGGTGGTTATGTGGCAAAGCCTCACGGGTATATTCTTCAGTCTCGCCGGCAGCATGTTTAGCTTGGAGCATGAACTGCAGCAGAAGCTCCTTGCCAACAGCATAGTGAAAGCACTCTCAGCGTGAAGTAGCTGTAAGCTATTGCTGAGGGAACCATTTCAATGTTGTTTTATACAAACACTTCTAAGCAATTTACAGGCATGTCGGCATCCAGGAATAGAGGGAGACGCACGTTCGCAAAGAGGGTTGACCCACCTCATCAATGAGGAGCCATTAGTGGGATGGACTTTGAGTTCACAATTACTGTCACCTTGGAGGCCAGGAAAAGAATGGGAAACAAAGAGGATCTAATATCTTAACAGGCACCTCCAGCAGTGCCTTCACAGCCAGGGAAGAAAAAAATAAACAGCTTTGCATAGCACAAAGCGACTACTTCTCATCCTTTTCAAAGATGCGAATGGTGTACACACTGGTTCTATTAGGGAGAGTGAAACTCAGAAATTCGCATTCACACAAGTTTTCTATAAAATGGAGCCTGCACATCATTTTTCGTTGGGATCAAGAGAAAAAAAAATCTGGCATGATTTACATGGCCCAGAAAATATAGCTCCAGACCAGGCTGGTGAACTGTGTTGGGTGTTTTAACAGCACTAAAAGACGTGTGACAGTTTAGCGTTCTCATGATAGGATTCCTTCCATGCTGTTCCACGATGGGTCTTCTCCCAGCTCTCCTGCCTCATCGACGCTGGCTCAGTCCTGTGAGATTCTTTATCTGTACAGTATGCAAAGACAATAGGTAGCACTTTGAACCATGAGGGGAAAAAATCACATGCCAGAAATGCAGTGTGGGACCCTGCCACTGCTCATGAGAACTCGAAACCACAAACTCTCCATGGTGGAGGTTGTCAGTTCTTTAGTTGCCTCCAGTCTGTATCCTTAGTAACTTTGAATGTTCCTGGCAGCGTATCGGGGATTTTTCAATGAGAAGAACGAGACAGTCAGGAAAGCTTCCCTGAAAGATCTTCCTTAAAACACACAGCACATGGTGTTTTTTGTTTTGTTTTACACCGTAGCCCTTTTCACATGGTATAGAGAATGACAAACATATATCCCACACATTATGTGCATGCATCTGTTTGTGAGGGAAAGCCAACATGTGTTCACTTTACAAATGGAACCAGAGACTCAGTGAGGGTTCAAAGCCACACATTCAGCAGTAACATGAAAATGACTCAGTGCGTTTCTAAAGAAAAATCAAGTGTACACTGTACACAGACTGTACGGGTGTTTACCATAGCTTGTGTAAAAAGGTAAAGGTAAAGGTTCCCTTGCTCGAAAGCCAGTCGAGTCCGACTCTAGGGTTGCGGGGCTCATCTCCGTTTCAAAGCCGAAGAGGCAGCGCTGTCCGAAGACGTTTCCGTGGTCTGTGGCCGGCATGACTAAACACCAAGGCGAACGGAACGCTGTTACCTTCCCACCGAAGTGGTACCTATTTATCTACTTGCAATTTCTTGCTTTCGAACTGCTAGGTTGGCAGGAGCTGGAACTAGAGACGGGAGCTCACTCCGTCATGCGGCACACTCGGGTCTCGAACTGCTGAACTACTGATCTTCCACAGCCTGCAGTTCAGTGTCTTAACCACTTGAGCCACCGCAGCTCCATTGTGTACATAGCTTGTGTACAGGGCTGAAATTCACATGGGATGTCAGATAGACCCCATAGAGAGGAACAATGTAAAGCACTCTGGGTCCCCTCTGGGGAGAAAGGTGGGATATAAATGAAGTAAATAAACAACAGATGTTTGGCATCAAAGAGGAGGAGTGGGGGGGGAGAAGGATTCCTATATGAGCTCCTGTATGGAAAATGATGAAATCCTGCCTCTAGCATTACTTACAGTCACAGCAGCACCCATGAGGCCCTGGACAAGCGCCGCTCCCGTTGCCTGCACCTAGGAAACAAGCACACATGCTCTAACGATTTTTTCATGCTTATGGATAAACCAAACAGGAATCATTGACACAGCCAGCATGTGCTACTGGGTCGGAAGGGACTGCAGAATTCAGAAAGGGCACTGCAGCGGCATCCAAGCACGCGGACTGAGTGGGATTTCGAGAGGCATGCACAGACAACAGCAACACAGCGTGCTCCGGACAAATGCAACGGGGCAGCTCTGGAGCTCACTGCGGTGAAATTAAACCTTTTCAGAGATCTCCAGGAAGGCTTTTCCTCAACAAATGTAATGAAGTCTTCCCGCTGCTGCCTTAGATGTGCCTTTATCGTACAACTGCATTTTATTCTTTTACATTTTGTAAACTTCCCCCAAGGGTAATTTTAATCAAATGGTGAGCTAAGTATCTTCTCAAATGTTTATTACTTTAGATGTGTGCAGCCTTGCATACGGCTAAGACGCGAGAAACCTGGTGAGAAGAGCATTCAGGTGCTTGAAATGTTAGATGCCAAAAATGTTTGGGGTACCCATAAAAATAACACCGAGTACGAGATAGTCCAACTAATGGCACAGTTACTGCATGAGTGGTTAAATGAACTTACTTCTGAGAATCAAAAGGAACAAAATTGGTATGTGAGCATGGCCAGAGTAACAGCTCACACGAACAGTGCAAGAGCGCATTTCTTTATGAATTGGGAGTGACTATCTACCTGCTTAGCTGTGTGACCCATGTTCATGGCATCGGCTACTCGGTTTTCTAGGAAAGCCCAGGTGTTCTCAAAGTCAGGGGAGGTGTCCTGAAGCATCACCAGCTCTGTAGTGTTGTAGATGCCAGCCAGTACAGCCCGGCGAGTATACCAATTGAACTGTAGAGGCAGGAATCAAGAGACCAATGTTATGCCAGCACCAGTGAGAAATTTAAGATTTCACCAGCGAACCACAAGCTACACGTATGTGAGATATTCCCCTTGTTAGCAACAGGCCCGGCATTTTGTACATTCTGCGGTACTTACCAAAAAAATCCCCAAATTTCTGTGCTAACATAGCACAAATTTCAAAGCAAAAAATTATGAACTCTGCAGTCTGTAAGAACATATGCAAAGTAAGCAAGTCTGTGCTAAAAATCCCCAAATTTCTGTGCTAACATAGCACAAATTTCAAAGCAAAAAATTATGAACTCTGCAGTCTGTAAGAACATATGCAAAGTAAGCAAGTCTGTGCTTGATATGCTCACTTCCATATATATATATGAATATATGCTCACTTTCATATATATATATATATATATATAC